TCAGTTGCACGTTTGAACAAACAGAATGCCTGTTTGTATAAGTGTAGCAGGCAGATGTAGCAAGTTTCGAGCCCACGACTTCAACAGGTGTAAATTCGACGCAAGTATGAACTTTCCTAGTCGTCCCTAACCTATATCAATGCACTTTACGTTCGAGCATCGAACGAGCGTCGTACGTCGATGTTGGTTTTACGATGACAATAAACATAATTCACAGTGAACGCGGATAAACACGAAATGTACGACACTGCGATAATCACACACTGCAACTTGAATGGTATATATCAAAAGTTTATAGCTGACGATCCGTCGACACAACGATTTACCATTTGTCTGCTGCAAAAATACACGTCCAGTACAGGCGGCCAGGTGAGGTTGGCATCGGCCAAACACGATATTGCTCCCGCAAACATTTATGTGCTGTGAAACAGGTGCGAGTCGTGCTTCCCGTGGCACGATACGTGCCGTGTCGATGTGCCCGTGTTCGTACGGATAACGGACAAGTGTTTCGAAAATATTACTAACGAAACGTGCCCGTAAACGTTCCCTCCAATAAGCCGCCATTTTCTTTCGAGTTTACTTTCGCATTCCTACCAACTTTTTTCGTATCGATCACCTAATCATGTCGATCGTAATTAAAATATAGGGAATTTGATTTTTATACAAATTTGAGGAATTTTTTTTTTTTATACAAATTTGAGGAATTTTTTTTTTTATACAAATTTGAGGAATTTTTTTTTATACAAATTTGAGGAATTTTTTTTTTTTATACAAATTTGAGAATTTTCTGAATATTTAAACTCGGTTAGAATTTTGAAATTGTCGAGATTTTGGAAAAATTCATTTCGCGACGTGAAACAGAAAAATAAGGGAAACAAGGAGGATTCAACTAGTTTTAAATTCTAGGGGAAATTTGATTAAAGTTTTTTTGAAAAATTCGATACATTGCAAAAAGATTCTACAATAATTTCTGAATTATTTCTGTATATTTTTATTGTTTTGTTGCCTAGTTACGGTGGACTGCAATTGAACTAGGGAATTTTCACACGCAACACATAACCAGAGAATTCAAACGATAAATAAAAAGCGCGAAAATCCCTGTAGTTTAAAATTCTTAAAAACGATACGATTAACAATGTTGAGAATGGCAGACAGGCTGTATATTAAATAAAGTTCCTACTGTGTTTCTCCGGGCCGACGTACGAATCTCAATTTTCCGGAACAAATTTAAAAGTCAATTAACCGGACTATCCCACACGACGCGTTCAAAGCGCACGAGGAATATTTGTAACTAGTTTCCTGTTGCAATGCGCGATTAATTTCTGTCGATAAACGTAATGAGGCAGTAATACCAACGGACGCCGATCGATTTTTTCCCCTATAATTGACTCGTAATTTTTTCTTTCGATTTTTTTTTTTTTTTCGCCTAAGTACGGTACGTTGTTAATCTCGGTGATGAACGAAACACAATTTTGAACGAATGAATTACGTTAAATCACGTCGTGCACGTTCACGCACCATCCTTTCACTTTTCTTTCTTTTCGACTTTCTGACTTTCATCGACCGTATTAATTACGTTATATAGAGTGTTTCAGCTTCGAAGAGAACGTAAGTCGAAGATAAAATTTCTTTTGCAGGACGCTTCGTTTCCGAGGAAATCGAAAAATTTTGAAAATTTTCACATGGAAATTCCACTCTTATTTTCATATTTTCTATCAATCGTTCTTTTCCACCACGTTCAAAAATTAGCCAAACTGAGCTAACGTACTTGATAAATTGTCGAGATTACTCGATTCTCTGAAAAATTAAAAAAAAAAATTTTCCACGAAAAAACGTCGCTTCATCCTTAAGTACGCACTACTACGTACACGCATGCACATGCAGGGAATAATTGCCACAAGCATAACGGAATATTTAGGTTAGAATTCAAGCCGGACCAGTGGCGTCGATCGTGGTCATTTGGTGTATTTCCTAGACTGGACATGGGATTTACGTTTGCGTCGTTACTTTTTCCTCGGCGGGTATTAAGAAATCACGGGTATTATAAAAATATTTATAAAAGCTATGAAGCTCGGTGCCAAGCGTTCGTGCGGCCAGTAAAAGGGACAAGAAAGTCGAGAGGCCAGTCAGGAAAGCAGCTGTTCGATAAAAAGGACGTTCAAACTCTATACGGCCAAATGTCACATGGCTTACGTCCCACTGCATTTACCTACGTGCTCTGTACATTCGATCGCCATTTTCATAACCTTTACAACGTAAAATAATTGCATGATTTGGGAAAACATCGCTTATTTGTCACGACATATATCTCGTTTATCGAACGGCTCATAATTGCAAGATGAAAATTAATTTAAAAAAAATTGTTCTCTCGACGAAAAACCGTTTCGAGAGCGATCCGATATTCACGTCAGCAGCGAAATTTAGCAAACCAATTCTGACACTGCGTCAGTTTTGAGGCTTCGTCGTCATACGCGTCAGGTAAATTTTTTTTACGAGCTTCCACGGTGTCTCGTTTTTCGAAAGTAGTACAGCAAAACGTGTCGAATACGTTCCTTTCGAATACAGTCTCACCGATAACAATCGACGCCAAACAATAACCGTGCATTTTTTATTTTCTTCTAAAACAAAACAGCTAGCTGCCAGGTTACACAATGAACTCGCAATTTAAAGCGAAGTTGATACGCACGTTTATCTATTTAAAAGATATAAAAAGTGTGCAATTACTTGTTGGCCGACGCAATACATCGACTCGGATGGTAAAGTAGTGACGCGTTCCGAGCGATTGTAAAAACGAGTGGGACCGCGCAACAACAAACGTCGGTAACGCGGAGCTCACGGTGTGTCGTGTCGCGGGTCAAGCTTTTGCCCTTCGAGAGACGGGTCGGTTTCATCTTCGAACAGTATGTTCTTCCCGTTCTGTTTACTTTTCCCGAAGCTACCTCGATTCGATAAGATACGCGAGTCTTCCATTGGTATCTTCGATCCACGGGCGAATATAGGATAGAATGTTTTTTTTTTCTCGTCAAAACGTTATCGATATCGAAGCTTAATTATTTCTCCATTACGTTCGAGCTGCGCACGACACGCTTTCTGTACCGTGTACACATTACGTGATGCATCGACGTATGTATATGTATGTACATACACGTACACACCGAGGAACGTCTTAGAAATCAAGCCTGACCTAGAAACAGCTGTCCGCGACAAAAGTGAATTAAGAAAAAGCGAGCCAGCATAGAGGAATCGACTTTTTTTTTCCCAGTATTAGCAGAAAAATACCAATATTTTATCGGGCTGATTAAACGTTGCCGCACAATTAACCAACGCGTTCGAGGATTATCGTTCGCGATGAATATCCCAGAGGGTCAACCAACCAGGCATCGAGACAGGTTTTCACCAGGTGTTCACCGATCTCTAGCATCGACGCCACTGTTCGTGTTCTGTACGTTGCGCGTGTGTGTATGTGTGCGTGCATGCGTGCGTGCGCGCGCGCGTGTCGAAAATGCAAGGAGGAGACAGAGAGAATGAAGAAGAAAAATTGCGAAGGTCGTGCGCTCACCCTCGAGCAGGTGCCAGTCTTCGTCGAGCGAAGCCAGGGCTTGTGCCTGATTCGCCTGTTGTTCAAAGTCGAGCATCTCGGCCCTCCGTTCCAGCCTGGCCTCTGCCTGCCTCCTTTGCGACCGTTCGGTTCTCTGCAGCCCTTTTCGTTTGCACCGGCTTAAAGTATCTCGTGTGTCACTTGCACTTACCGCGGCAACCACGGTCAAAAATCGCGTACGTACAATCGGTCTAATCGGATCGCCGATCGGTCGCGTGAACCGACAACAACAATGCCGTCCGTGTCTGTAACGGAACACGGTGTTTGACCGCGCGGAATCCCGCCGTCGAGTAGCAAGCAATTGGAAACTGGTGTATCAAAGTCAGACTTTCCCCTCGAAGAAAACCGCTCTCGCTCGCGGATTATCTCGAACGTCCTTTCGTCACGAGACTAAGCAAGAGCTGAG